AGCACAAGTGGGATATTAAGTAACAAATTCGTCAAAACTGCCTGTGCAGATCAGTTGACTTTGGAAGCAAGTTGCGAACAGGTCAGAATGAATTAGAGAATGATCCTTATATTCTTGGAAAGCTACGGATGTCTATTTTCTGGACCATTTCGCGGATTGTTAATATCATTTTTCTAGAAGAAGTTATGGCCGTTTTAACACTGAAAGGTTTCCAAGACGCTGAGCAGTTTGTAACTGCATTGAAGGCAATAAATCCAATAAAACTAGCAGCCAAAACTGATGCAGCCAAGAACAAGCCAGCTGACACCTCTTCAAATATCAGATGAAATGGAATTAAAGATGAGGATTAAGTGGGAGTAATTGGCATAAAAGTTGCCCAAAAAGTTACAATTGTTTTACCATTTCCTCTCACTTATTGTCATCACTAAATGGCTGTTAGTGGGGTGAGTTATGGAGCAGAAATGGGGCAGCAAGCATGGGCATAAAGGCTGCAGGTTGCAGCAGCAAAAGAGAGTTCTTTAGAGGAAAAAAAGATAGAAAAAAAAAAGGAAGGAAAGGAAGGAAAAAAGGCAAGGCTGCTGCGTTAAGGAAGGAAGGAAAGGAAGGAGGAAATCTTGGCATTCTCTTCTTTCGGTTTTATCTTCTCAAACTCATGTCTTTCTTTTGGTTTTATTTGATAATAATGTGTAACTAAATTTTTAGTAGTTAGGGGCTGTTTTGAAGCCCCGAATATGATTGCAAGTTTGTTATGACATTTCGTTTGAATTACTTTTATGAATGGATGAAAATTGGTTCACTACTTGTCTCATTGATGAATTCTTTATTTGTTTTCTATAGATGCATACTTAGTAAGCATATCTAGGATTCTAATGCTATGAATATGTGTGTGCCTGCCCTTGTCGAATGAGGACCTACATATGTTCTAGAGTAGTACTTGTTAATTGCGATTAACATGTGAACCAATTTCTAGGATAAGTAAGACAACGCTAGTACTTACGATGCCTTGTGATGACTCAAACTCTTTTCGTTCTTAATGATTTCTTCTTATTAAATCTATGAACACGCCATTCTAGATTGCATGCTAGGAACTAAGTTAAGTTGAAAACGCCATTCTCTTAACATACTACGTAAGAAAGAGTAATAGGTTGAGTTCTAACATTGAACCAACTTGAGCATCTTCATCTGGAAATAAAAGAAATTTGAATGAAACATAACATATTTGCATGATTATTTGGTGGTAGATAGCAATACCCCTAACTCGTTTTTCTTAATTTGTGAACTACTTAAAATTTGTTTCTATCCTGTTTTTGTTCGATTTAATTTAAATAGCAAATCAACTCCAAAAATCCCAAAACTTTGTGTGAGTGTAGCTTTGTGTGTCTAGTATCTTCATATAAAATTTCGTAGACTTTAGATAAGTATAAGTCGGTCTAATAATTATTTTTCGGTGGCTGGTTAGTAGGGACAGCAACCAGTTTTTGTGACATTTTAAGTAGTTAGATAAAACAATCTTCTGCAGGAAAGACCCTTATTTTCATATGCTACAATTGACAAATCTTATTGTTAATAAGGAAAATCAATAGGATATTTGTGTGCTACTTTGTAGTGTGCTTTTAATCCTATCAGTCCACCTTGAGGCCCATTGCCACCCAACCTATTTGACGTTACAGTTGGTTACTGGGTACGAACTTGACATTTCGTACTTAAGCATTTTGGGTGTGCATTCCATGTGCCTAGTTGTGCCACCGCAACATACCAATATGGATCCTCAAAGAAGGATGTGAATCTTTGTCGATTACGATTCTCCTTTACATTAGCTCTCTTAAAGCCCTTGCATGCGATGTTTTTACCGCCCATTTGTTGATTGTCACTTCAATAAGACAGTCTTCCTGCCATTAGGGGGAGATAAGAACATCAACGTTCTTGTAGAACGACACAAATTTGCGTGGATGTTGCCCACTATATCTTATCTCGATCCATGTACCTCACAAGTGTGATAAGCAAGTGTGATGTATTCTAGCTTTCAGAATGTTGTTTCAGACGCATTTATCTAATCTAGCTAAAGTGACGAGATCATATATTAGCTAAACAAGCCTGTAAGGATAGACGTACTTAACAGACGTCGAGTCAACATCCCCGAAAGATGTGCCGTCCCTGTTGGACGGTTTGGCCGCCCCTGTTGGACGGTCCGGTACATTGGCGAATAACCAATCAATCTGTCATGGCTTGAAGCACGACAGATCACTCAGTTCATAGGATTCAATTCCCTAGAAGAGAAAAGTCTCGGCATAAACATGAATCCATATTTGATTGTTGTCTCAAATTATTTCCATCTCATGAGATTAATCCAGATTACTCCCGAGACTTGAAGTTCTTGGTCTAGTATACTAGTTTGGATGAGATAAGGGAATTGGAATGAGATTATCATCGACGATATTTTCACTTATATGGTAGCTATTGACATAAACGAAAAGCGACGATATTGAACTATGATCTATTGATTAATGACAATGCAGAACTGATTGGACAAGGAAATCACAATCCATGTTAAATTCCTTACCAAAGTGTGTTTTGGACCTGTAGTTCCTACACTACTCAAGGTAACCCTATTGTGCGTAATGAGATGAATGAAATAATGCGATATGATGCACGCCTTACAGCGTAAGGTTTCTCTCAAACGCCTTGTGATTGACTGCAGCATTATGAAATGTGGTTAGTATTTCTCCATGAGATTATTAATACAGAGATTGACATGTAAGTTCCCAAAGAATTACATGGATTGACTCAAATAGTTCCAAACCACAGAATACCCTCTCAACTGGTTTGAGGCGTTCACTTATGGATTGAAGCAATCCGGCAGATGTGGTATACCCGTCAAAGTGATTATTTGATCAGTTAGGGATATGAAATTATACCCTTGCGTGTTAAACTATGAAGTCTTAATTCGAATTGCTAGAGTTACAGTTTATGTCAATGACATGCATCTCACTAAGACTCTAGAAGAGCTTGAGAAAATTGTCTTGCTTCTAAAGATGGAATTTGAGATGAAGGATCTTGGAAAAACTCATTTATACCTTGACCTGAAGTTCAAAGCGTTGTTCTGACGATACTTTGGTCTACCAGTCGAACTACACCCCCACGGTGTTACCTTTGAGTATACCTATTATCTTCCATAAGCTATATGCAAATGAGACCTTGAAGAGGTTATAAAACCTGAAGTTCCATATCTGAGTTCAACTTTGCGCTTTGTTGTACTCAGCTCATTGTATTAGACAGAACATCTCATTCGCTGTTGATCTATTGGTAAGATGCAGCACCGTGCCTACACGCAGCCACTAAATTGGTATTAAAGATGTTTTCCACTTCCTTAAAGGTACTACGAATTGGGCTAATCCCAACGCATCCTGAGCAGATCTGACCCTCTTGATCCTCGAAATGATGTTTTCCTTGTTGTTATGCTAATGTTGGTTACTTATCAAACCCGCACAAGGTATGTCCCCGAATGGTTATGTCTTTACCATTATGGATATCGCAATATCTTGGAAGTCCACAATATAACCTTAGTTGCAAAATCTTCGACTCGTTCCAAGACTTACCTAACTTCACTATGCCACATGTGAGACATGGTTGAGAGTTCTTGTTAAGCATATTCGAAGTACTTGCTGTTTTCATCTATCATTGAGTCCTGACGCCGATCCATGAAGATTATGCTGCATGTATCAACCCAATCGAGACATGATACATCAACGAAGTCAACGTCAAGACATATTGTGTGTACATCTACATCAGCAAAACATCAGGAGATTGAAGTCAAGCAAGCCGATCCCAAACAACCTTGCTAACTTCTACACGACGTCACTGCAGAAGTTAACCTTCTAGAAGCTTGTCTAAGGAATTGGTATGCCTAACTATTCATATGCAATGCTTGTAGTTCTCATGTGGAACATCTGTCAAACTCAGGGGGAGTATCCAGAAGTTTACCTATTTGATCTCAATGCACTATTTTTCCCTACAATTAGGAGCATTTTTCCCACTGGGTTTTTGCTATCTAACTAGGTTTTGACGAGGCACCCATCCTAGGTTGGTCATACCCTTATGAGCTCTTCTCCTTGCGTCCAGAAGAGGTATAGTTTTGACTTAATGCAACTTCTCATTTTTCTCCTTAGTCTATGGGTTTTTATCCAACCTTAGGTTTTACCATAGCGAGGTTTGTGAGTTTTACCTTTTATGCATTCTTCCGTTGATTTGAGACTCACATTCGCTCATTGTGCCAACGACTTCATCAACTGTACTTACTTCATCGCTGAAGACCTGATGCACCATTTGTTTGAGTATTTACACACTCAAGGGAGAGTGTTGCAGTCCTATTAGATTAGGAATGTGATCATGTAAATCCTATCATATATGGGATATTCTTATGGGATTCTACCATATCTCTTAGACTAGATATTATCCTATTAGAGTTGTAATCCGATTGGGGTGAGGAATTTACCTTCCCTACTACTATAAATAAAGACACAATGTGAGATAACACATACCTCACAATTACAAATCTCTCTTTTCTCTCTATGTCGCCGCACCCCCTCTCTTTGGCTTCCATAATTGTTCAGTAAATTATGCCTACAACACTAGAAACTTTATATATTTCCTAAAAAAACCGTGCCTATCTCATCCCCTGCCTCCCACCACACCCACTCCCAGACATATGTCTAATATTTCCTACAAAATTTATACATATAAATCAATTGATATCCACGTGATTCCCATAAATTTAGACATGTTGACACACATGTCGATGTTAATGAAATTTGGGTTCTCTTGGTGGAGTGGGAACCCTACTGTTTTTAGATATTATAAGAGCGATGTCAAGTGTGATTGACCGTAGCTTTAAAAATAAAAAGGTACAAGAACATGTCGATGGGTACTTTGGTAATCATGTCATGTGTAAGATGTATATAAGGACGTTATTGTGACACACTAAGAAGATCACAAATTGAGCTATTTGGCCAACTATACACTTTTCTCCAAACCCTAAACGTAAGTGCATTAGCTAAGGAAACCTTTCCTCTCCTCTTACACTTTCCTTTAATTCATGCTTATATATTGCACAAGATCATTAGAAAGTTAATTTTCTTTATGTTACTTTTGTTTGTTGTAAAAATGTGTGCAATCTCACACGGAAAATCACATTCCCCTATTATTTACCACCAGGTTCTACTCATCGTCATGTTTAGCTTTGATACAAATAAATAAAGATGGTTGTTTTGTTAATCATGGTACGTTTTCCCATGTATGCAGTGTGCTTAATGTGTCTAATTATTAGCTAACAGAAAATAATGTGGAGGTTGAAGCTTTCAGAAGGCAGAGAGCCATGGCTTACAAGTGTGAACAATCACGTCGGAAGACAATATTGGGAGTTTGATCCAAACCTCGGAACACCGGAAGAGAGAGCTCAAGTGGACAAAGTCCGTCTTGAGTTTCACAAGAATCGTTTTCGCACAAAACATAGTTCCGATCTCCTAATGAGACTTCAGGTGAGACTCAGCTCACTGTACGTGCGTGAATGATATCTTTCACAAGATCATTATTTGAAACTGATGATATGAAATAATATGAAATAATATGGATTCTGGATATGTATGCATATAATAAATACAAAGTTCGCAAAGGAAGCAAGTGAAAAGAAGCAAGTAGTATCGGATCAGGTGAAAGTGAAAAGTGGTGACGAGGAGGAGGAAGTAATAAGCGAGGAAGCAGTGGAAATCACGTTGAGGAGGGCGTTGCGATATTACTCAACTCTGCAGGCTGACGATGGTTTCTGGCCTGGTGACTATGGTGGACCTTTGTTTCTTCTACCTGGCTTGGTAAGATTTCAATATTTAACCCCTATTTAGCCCTAGCTATAAACTAGCTTTATCGTAAATGGAGCTGAAAAAACTATTCACGTTGTTCGAAAGTAAAATAAATAATATCGTTCGTTGGATTAAACCAAAACGTAAAATACAATAAGGGAGTTTTATTAGAAAGCCGCTTTTAGCATTTTTTTTTTAGTAAGAAAACTCTTGGCCAATTTTCTTTAATATATTGTTAAATATATGAAAATTTAATGTATTTAAAAATGTAATATATGCAACGTTGCTTCATGATAATCTGAGAGATTTGGACAAAGTAAGATCTAGAGTTCTAGACTCTGCAACCTCACATATGTGATTTGGAACGATTTTCTATAAACATATCTTTCTGCGTGAATAGTTGAATTAACCTAAGGATTTTCAATGATTTTTTTCGGAATATATCACTACGCGTAAAGTGGCATATTTGACAAAACTGAACTTATGAGTGCATGTACTTGTACATGAAATTATAATCCAACTGTTATAAAGAGGAACATAGCAAACTTCATATATCCCTTTTCCACTCAAAAACAAGATCGGACGTTATTCCGGTTCGTTTCTATTTTTGTGAAAACTATTCCCCAAGCAAGTCAACCGATAAGTCATGAAAGGTTTTGTGATATGGATAAACAATAGAGCTGATATTTCGTGGGCCTAAAGTATATATTAATGAATAAATACATGTTCTAACATGATTTTATTAATAACACCGCATGAAGATGTGATGATCACACTATAAAGGTTCTCATATGATATGAGCCCTTGTAATAAAACTAATGAATGACTTTATATGCAACCACATAACTTGTATGGATTTGACGAAAATGCCATTATTCATGTCCAAATTATGAAAGTTTTCCATACACACAGCTTCTCAATTATCTTATCTTCTCTTTGATGGTGATGAGCGATAATTAAACACTAATGACTTCAGAAGACGGTATAAATAGATGTATATATGCCTCGAAAATTCATGGGGTGTTCATACTAACATAATATATTGATTAATTCCTTTTCATTACATAAATGGTCCCCTTTTCTTCCACTTGTAGTTGTTCAAATAGAATTATATAATATCATAAATTAGTGTAAGATGATAATGAAACTGTCGACCATATATATATATATATATATATATATAATTTGGTAGTAATTATTCCGCTTAGTACTATAATTTGGTAGCATTTTTCAGTTGTGAGAGATTTTTAAGTGCGAATTTCATGGATGGTGAGGTCGATACCAAATTATTTCCCTAGCTACCCGGCCTCTTAGTGTAAACATTTCGTTGTATCAGAAAACTAATTATCACAAATTTTTAAGCAAAAATCTTTCTTTCATCCTTTTATAAAAACTTTTTACTATTGAACAAGTGTGAATTATGTTCAATCTCTCTTTATCATTAATGGTCCCCTCTTTTCCCTCTCATTCCCTCCAATTTGTTCCTAGTTTCCAACACAGAGACCAACACACATATATATCATACAAATAATATACATTAATTCTACGTCGTTATCATATTTATTCATTTTATTATTGTAAATACATAGAATAGGATATACATCAATTATACCACCAAATAATAATGTTTGTATATACACAATAACTAGTATACAATTGTATAGAAAACAACTTTACAATAAAATCAAGCTGGCTCCTTCATTATTGATGGTCCACTATTTTCGCTTATTCGTTTTATACTAAGAGACCGTTTGCCCATCTGTTTATATATATATATATATATATATATATATATATATATATATATATATATATATATATATATATATATATATATATATATATACACCTCTCGTCTTTTATTTGTTTTCCCCCTTTTTTGTTGTTGTTTCTGCTGCATGTTAGTTTTCTGTATATTTAAATGTTTGTTAAAACCCTTAATTATTTATTTGGTTGTTTGGAATAGAAATAATCTTACACCAACAGGAGCTTTAAGCATGCATGCAATGATGTACTAGCTAATGAAGAACAAGAATAATTATATAAAGAACGATTAGCAACAATAAAATAATCGCAGACACAGTTACTCATGAACTCTAACTAGCTAGCTTCTTATTTTGCAATCGAGCCTCTCTTATATCATGCACCAACGTTGCAAATCAATCATACAAATTAGTCAGTTTTAACTATCATACAAGTCAACATCAGCCGTACGGTTAATTGGTATTCAACTTTATTTATATGAATTTCATGCCTTATTATGTCGTTCACATCGTATGACTACACTAAACATGGGAGTTTTCTTACTCTTATAACACACTAATTAACTTAAGCAATGAAATGTGTCGTAGGTTATTGGCTTATATGTAACTGGGGCCCTTCATACAATCTTGCCGCATGACCAGCATCAACAGGAGATCTGCCGCTATCTGTATAACCATCAGGTATAATAATCAAGTATCTAATTTCTTTTCCTTTATGCTTTGCTACCTGTCAATTGACATGGCTGACTTGCCATCTATTAGGAATAGGAACCAATCAATTATCTTGATCTCAGAATCTAATTAACAAGATGGGGTTGACATAACTAAACCACTCAACTGATCCCTTGTCTTTGCATGGGTATATTATTAATAGATAAAATGATTCTTTGTATAATTCTGCACATCTCTATTAGATCTCTATTATTTGATGCGACTTTTAATAATTCTCGAGGCCCCAACTCCTATTCAAAATTTTCAAATTACAATTAATTGTGAAAAAATGTGTGACATAGAAACGTTAAGAAATCTTACAAAAGTTTATAAAAAGTTTGGCTATTCATTCTATTTTCAATTAGTTTTGTGTTCGATCCTTAACTCTTTTTTTATGGTATAACAACAAATTAGCTCATGTGTGAAGATTAATCTTACTAAGATATTTATTTATTTTTAGTAAATAGTGCTAGCACTTGGGTATGACTTATGAGAGAGTACGACTAACACTTTTCCTTTGCTGCAAACTAAATTGGATAAACAAAATGCAGAATATAGATGGAGGTTGGGGACTACATATAGAAGGGCCCAGCACAATGTTTTGTACAGCTCTGTCCTATGTCACCTTGAGATTGCTTGGAGAGGAAATTGACGGTGGTGATGGCGCAATGGATAAGGCAAGAAAATGGATTCTTGATCGTGGTGGAGTTACCTTCATACCATCATGGGGAAAGATGTGGCTTTCAGTAAGCAATCTTTTTTCTTAACAAATTCTCTCAATTTGGTTTTTTTTTTTTTTTTCTTAACAAATTCTCTCAATTTGGTTTTAAATGTTAAGAGTTTCTCTATCTGGATAGTGTAGAAAATAGAAAATATCATTTGTTAAAAAAAAATGTCAAGAATATCTATTATGCATAAATCTTCAAAATGTAAAATCATAGGAAAAAGTTAATATACGCACAGATAAAAAAATTTAAAAAAAATCTTCATTATTGATGTGGTCCTATATTAACCAATTAAAACAAAAATGTGGTCCAATATTGACCAAAAGAAATGTGGTCCTATTAGATAGATATTACATTTTAATGAAAAGTAAGGCAGGACTTAAAGAAAAGAATAGTACTTGGATATTGGAGTAATACTTTGTACTCAAAATTATTCGCGGTCTATTGTAACAAATAGATAGACGGTTTGTTTAGTCAATAGACTGTAGTATTATGAACCACCTATCCATTTAATACAGTTGATGACCTTAGTTTTAATTTAGAGAGACTTTGGATGCGGTCCTTAGCTATCAATGTTCTTTGACTGAAACTTTTGTGATTTTTAGTTTTTGATCGAAGTCCCTGACATTAATGTAACAATGTATTTCTATGTAGTTATTATATTTTTAAATTAAAAATAAAATTTGTAGTTATTTATATTAATGAGATTTTAAATAAAACCCATAATTTATGGGATAAAAAAATATTGAAGATAAATTATACTCTCCAATATATTGTGTGTGTGTGTACATGGGTACGTTCATCAATACTAACCAAAAAATTATTGCACCAAAACATGGGTACATTTAAAAAAAAAATATATATATATATATTGAAGGAAAAATTTTGTCCTAGCTAAGAACATGTGAGAATATTTGAACACATATGCAAACTATTAACACATTAAAGTAGGCATGCATTCAAAAACAATTCTAAAACCCATGACTTTCAAAGCCTAGTGAATGGTGAACCATGAGACTCTTTAACAACATTAAAGAGAATGAAGGATTTAGAGATTCATTACCCTTGAAGCTCATCCTTGTTTACACAAGGGATTCACCCAAGTGGAGGGCCTTCAAGTCACCTCCTAGCTCCTTGGATCTTCCTTGTGATTTTCTTCCTTTTGATGCTCCTTTGCTCCTTGAGGATGTGAGGAAAGGATCTCCAAAAACACCAAAGATTTGGTGTCTCTAAGTCTCCACACCAAGGATGAGATGTGAAGATGAAATGGATGACTTAGAGAAGAAAAGATTGCTAGCTATATCTTCCCTATGTGGCCGGCCTCCTTGTAGAAAAAGAGAGAAAATGTTTCTCTTCTTTGTCTCAAGAAAACCCTAATGAGAACCTTTCGTAAAAGCCCAATACGAACTTAAAAGCCCAATACGAACCTTTCGTAAAATTAATTAACTAATTAATTAATCTTGACCATTCTCAATTAAACCATTTAATCGCTTATCCATCTCATTTATATTTCTTCACTTTCACCCTTACTCGGTGTACGATCCATTAGGTTCCAATTAGCGAGGCAGTGGGCGATTGTTACTCTTAACGATCGATTGTGAATTGAAACTACATTTCAATTCTCCCTTTGATTATGATTAGTGTTTGCTAATCTTCAGGGCTTCCACAAGCCATGAGTGACACCTAGCAGCATGTCATGGCTACCCAAGCTAAATAGAATTGGTTGGAGAACCTATCCAGTTACAATTACAATGCAATACGGTCCTTCTCTAATACAATACTCTTAATCACATTGTTTGAGTGATAGTTTGTATCATGTCTACTATCCAATGTGATACTTCTCTATATGATTCAATTGAATATGATTTGGAACATACTTCCTAAGTCATATTCGTATGCTTTGACCAAAGACTCCCCGAATCATATCTTAGAGTATTCTCCTTTCACCATGGAAGGTTAGAGATCCCTTGTTGTGCATTCATATGCCTACATGACTAGATAGCTTGACCCTAACAATACCGTGGACACTCTCGATGGAATGCCTTTGACATGATCAAAGATCAAGGACCTAACCATTAGACATCTATGATGCCTCAGGTCAAATGACTACTTTGCATATTGCAACTAACGAGTTCTTACATGACATGTATGTTCGAACTCTCTTTTGATCGTTTTTCAGTGTACTCAATTACTCTTTCAAGCACCTATGTGTTTGTCTTAGTGTCCAACACTAAATGACTTGAGACTAGTCATACTCAGGCTTGAGTTGACATAACACGTACTAACCTTAGCGGATTGTCAATGCCCAATTGGCAATCCTATGGCTAGGAACGTTTTAGGAATGAACATAAGAGAAATGTCTCGTTAATCTAACTTACTTAAATCACTTCTCTCTTAGATCAAATACATTCCTTGGATTCCCTTATTGCTTAAACACATGATACAATAAATAGTTAAAAAAATGGATAAGAAAAATGTTTGAATGAATTTTATATAAAAAATAGGTACATTTTATATTACAAAAAGGTACATTTTACAGATAACAAATTGGTATATGAATGGGTACATATAAGATTAAAAAATTGAAATTGAAATTTTTTATAAAAAAAATAAAAATAAAAAATCAAGATTCTAAAAAACGCTAGGCGCTACTTGGGTGGTGGGCTGGCGCCTAGCGCCTAGGTGACCCAGGCAGATTTAGGTAAATTTCTTGTATATCTTGTAAATAAGTGCATATTGACATTTACAAAAAGAATAATATATATAGGTAAATTTCTTGTTATTTTTTAAAAAGAATAATATATAGATATATAATTTTGTAACTTAAGATTTTTAGTATATAACATGGTTTGGTGTTTAAAAAGATAATACAACATAAAAAATAAAAAGAAAAAAGAAAGAAAAAAAAACCCACGAGCCCTCCACCTCTCCCACATCACTCCAATCGGTGGAACCCAAATCGAAAGATTCACTCGACCTCTCTCACATTACCCAAGGTCTCAATCCCATGTCAAAGATTTAATAGTGCCAAAAATAAATAAATAAATCAATTATAATATTTAATGATAAGGTTAGTGGTGGGCAATGACAGTAAATACAGAAAAGTGGTGCACATTACAATACCTTTTTTACATTTTGGAATACGAAAAGCCCTTTATTTTGATTTCGTTTCCTCTTCCTCCTCTCTCACATATGCTCTCCTATTTGGTTATTTTTCTGTTTCGTCTTCCTCCTCTTTCCTCTGTAAATTTCGTTCTTCTTCAAGTTTGGCTTCACGAGAGCTTGAGTTGCAGATGCAAGTCTGTTTAAACTAGATAGCATGATTTAGAGTAGTGCAGAAGACGATGATAAAAACTGTGCATAGAGCCAAAGAAAAGAGTTTGAAACAAAAGTTGCAGAACCAGCGACGGAGGAAACGAGATTCCATCCGCCTAGAGCCGAAGAAAAGAGTTTGAAACAAAAGTTTCAGAACCAGCGACGGAGGAAACGAGATTCCATCCGCCTAGACATGCCGCCTAGCATCGCTTAGAGCATCTAGACCGCCTAGGGAGCACCTAGCTTCCTCCCGATTTCTATAAACGATTTGCCCCAAATCGCATCGGGCCTCCACCGCCCAGCGCCTAGGCGGCCGCCTAGAGCGATTTTTAGAATACTGGAAAAAATTAATGGGTACAAACTTATTCTAATTTTATTTTTTATATTTTGGAAATGTTTTGAATTGAAAATTAATTAGGAATTTAGTAAGGATGTGAGTATTAAAACCCTAAAGCAATTACTAATTTTTATTTTAAAAAATTATGTAACTGAAATGTAATTCATTAATGCATTAATGCTAGGGACTTTGATCAAAATCTAAAAACTGATAAGGTCTCAGTCAACATTAGAAATTAAGGACCGGATACTAATTTTTCCTTTAATTTATTTTTTACAGAGATGATCTTAATTTACAATGTAATTTTCATATGACTAGTTTCAATCATAAGCTTTTTAAGTAGGAATTCATACTCATCCTTAAATAGCAACGTTTTTTTTTTACTAACACACAAGTATTATTCTAAAGAAAAACACACAGTGACACCTCTCTTTTACTTTTATTTTTTTTTTCTTTTTATTTTTGTGGTCATACTTGTTAGAATAGGAAGGTAAATATTTTAATTTGATTGTATTGAGGATTCCTTACCTTAATAAATTTCGTATATTATTTCCTAGATTAATTGTGATTAGGGTTATACAACTATATATATTTCCTCCCAGTGAGAAGAATACAGTTGAAACATTCACAAATTCTATGTATACTAGAGGGCAAAATTAAGATTACAAACGGAAGTAAGATTACAAACAAACAAAAATTAAACTGAAATATTCATCAGCCTCTCAAGGCACCAAGTCTCATCATGCAAGAGGCTCACCATCGAATGAGGTGACAAAGGTAAAATTACACGACAATATTAGACCTTAACCCTATAGCTTGTCGATGGCCCGATGTATTCTTTACCGATGAAAAAGCTCTCTCTCTCTCTCTCTCTCTCTCTCTCTCTCTCTCTCTCTATATATATATATATATATATATATATATATATATATATATGTTTACATTACCGTTCTCTTGGTCGCGGCATAATATGTTCATACATGAAAAGACGTACGTGAATCTAGCTATATAAAGCCTTCATCATGTTCAATCTTACTCAATTTAATATGTATTTTAATTGCATGCATAACTAAATTTGGAATGGAATTGGGAAGGTGCTTGGTGTATATGAATGGAGCGGAAACAATCCTCTGCCTCCAGAACTGTGGCTTTTACCTTACTCTCTCCCAATACACCCAGGTATATATAAATCAAACTGTTTTCTTTCTATTCTTCTCCATCTTACGTGTAATATGTATGTGAGATTTTTAATTAAGGAAAACTAATGAAAAGAGCGTGAAAACTTTGAATTTTAATGATAATGAAAAAATAAAAGGTAAAGTGAATAGTAGCAGGTTTGACTTTTTAGTGTAAAAATGTGGTTTTTCGTTAAAGTAAACATTACCATGGACTTTTCGTTAAAACTCCCTTTTAATTAACTCTAAATCCTAAACCCTAAACCCTAAAGGAAAAAGCTAAGAAGTAAATATAATCAAAAGTCAATCATGAAATGATTTTCAGGTAATCATATGCATGCAATGATGGTGCAGGTCGAATGTGGTGTCACTGTAGGATGGTTTATCTGCCCATGTCATATTTATACGGAAAGAGATTTGTAGGTCCTATCGACGGCCTTATTTTATCTCTCAGGAGAGAACTTTATACCTTTTCCTATCACCTGATTGATTGGGATCAAGCAAGAAATCTATGTGCTAAGGTACGTACTACGAGTAGTATTCATTCTACTATTTTTCTTCTTATTAAATAAGAGAAAAAAGTTATACAAATACTCCCTATCGCTTAACTTCGTCTATTATTTTTCTTTCAAAATTTTTTTTGTGGTTTGCAATTGAGCTATCTGGAGTATATTTTGATATGGCGAGAAGATGAATAGCAACTGTTCATTTCTTTTTTTTTTCTCATAAAAAATACTCGTACAAACTGGCAAAGTAACCACATCCCCAATGGTCTAAAGACTCAAATCTTTGTAATATTATGAACCATTCATGAACATCGCAGCAAATACGATTAAAACATTTATAGCTTCCACGTGAATAAGAAGTTGTGCAGCAGATACAAAATAAAGAGTTTAATATAATATAGAATAAGGAAGGATGACAATGAAGCAAAGTCAAATTTGGTGGAAGGAAGGATGTAAGACCCGCCAAACCAATCAAGGATCAGATGTGGAGTCATTTGACAAACAAATTATAAATGGGGTGGCTTTCTTTCTAATTACCTAACCAAATCTGATCTCATGACATCATTTTCCGCATAATCAGGTATGTTTTAAATAGAATATAATATACACACCGGTAATAATATAAAGTAATTAATTAACAGTTTAATTTTGAAAATAAATGGGTGCGTGGCTTGTTCGTAAGCTTCAACTCAAATGATATAAGAAAGCATAATTAGTGCTGGTTGAGTTTGTAAAAATCTTTTTCTTTGCTAGACCAAGGTCTAGGTTCGAGTCTTATTGCCGGCAATTCCTCTTGGTGGACGATCTTTAAAAGAAAACAAAGAAAAAGACTTGTGGTATGCCTTAGCCCTGAGATGGGTAGCCTCACCTCCTCCTAAACCCTTTTTTTACTGAAAAGAAAAGTGTAATTAGCCTTAAATTTTGGCTCAAATGACACTAGAAAGATGTATGACCTAAAGTTTAGACATCAGAACAAAACAAAACAAAACAAAAAGGGGAAACTGTGGTGGGCGGGTTAGGTCTGAAATATGCTTGATGTCTTGATTTATTCCAACTTCCAGCTCAAAAAGGAGAAAGAAATGTTTTATATTTCATAATTATAATTAGATCATTAGGTTATTAAGTTTAGGGTCTGTTGGCTCAACTGCTAATTATACTTTTTCTATTGGTTGAGTTGGACCAATAATCGAAACCATAAACCTAAATTTATTTCATGTTTTAATCTCCATATTAAATTTGCAGGAGGATTTGTATTACCCACATCCCCTTTTACAGGACATGTTGTGGGGATCTCTTCATAAGGTTGGGGAGCCTCTTCTGAAGGGATGGCCATTCTCTAAACTAAGGCAAAAGGCTCTCCGCACTATAATGCAACACATACACTATGAGGATGAAAATACTCAATATATTTGCATTGGACCTGTCAATAAGGTTTGTTTAAAAATATTAAATAAAAAGGAGAATACAATTGTATACAATAAATATTTAATATTATTTATATAATACTCATGCCCTTTGAACCAAGAAGAAAAGCAGGCTATATGATTATCGTGTGACTTAGCCCATATCCTTTATACCTTAGTGTAAAATAAGGTATTACTCGATCAGAAAAATGTACTAAGTGCATTGTCTATATAAACAACAGGTACTAAACATGATTTGTTGTTGGGTGGAGGATCCAAATTCAAAACCATACAAGCATCATCTCTCAAGAATCAAAGATTATCTTTGGGTTGCTGAAGATGGAATGAAGATGCAGGTCCTCAAAAAGAGTTTTTAACATAATTTCTCTCTTATTAATAAAAGATGAGATTTTTTTTTTTTTTTAAATTGTTATTAGCACTCTAAAAATCTAATTGTGCACTCTAAACTTTCTATATTTGGATGGAAAAATACTGTTATGAGAAGTGCACAATTAGGTTTTTGGAGTGCTAATAATAGTTCTCTAATTTTTAAAAGATGTGGGACTAACTGAACGTACATTATTTTGATCATATATAGGGATATAATGGATCTCAATGTTGGGATGTTGCTTTGGCTGTTCAAGCAATCCTTGCAACCAACCTCTTTACTGAATCTGTTTCCATGCTTAAGAAGGCGCACGATTTTATAAAAAACACACAAGTAATTAAACTCAAAATAACTTGTATTAATTTAAACTAGATATCGTCTGGAATTCACTGCCAAAACATATATATATATATATATATATATATATATATATATATATAGATATATGCCAAAACTACAGCATGCAAAACTACTTAACTGTTTTTTAATCAATTAAGGTTCGGACAAACAGCTCCAGAAACCCTAGTAACTGGTACCGTCACATTTCCAAGGGTGGATGGCCCTTCTCCACTCCAGACAATGGCTGGCCTGTCTCAGATTGTACGGCAGAAGGTTTGAAGGTAATCTTTTTGAGTTGGCTTCTAGTGTGTAAAGTCCCTTAGCGCAACGAATATTCGCGTCGCGCAAATGTTTTGCTACTTTACTTTTGGTGCGGCGCACTTGAGCGACGGCGCCTCAGTTTCGTCACGATAAACATACTTGCGCAACTAAGCTTTCGTCGCACAAAGATCTGTCGCGCAAATGGTTTTTTCTGAAATGATATGCGGACTAAAACTATGCGTACCATCTCAATTGACTATTTATCCGACTGCTTACAGGCAGCCCTCTTACTATCAAGTATACCGTCTGAAATAGTAGGAGAAGCCGTACAGACTGATCACCTATATGATGCTGTTAATGTGATATTATCCCTACAGGTAAAAAATGGTTTTAATGATTAGTATCTTATACAATTCTATTGGCAGCTGATTAAGTAAACATGGGACTAAATAGCTTAAGCTTCTCTGACAATTGTAAGTTCTCTTGTCAGATTGTCTGACAATATAAGAACATTTATATGTTGTCAGACTATGAATGTAAATAGTTGATCAGGTCCACTCTTGCATGAGTCGGCTATATAGGTTCACACAAAATATGCCTTTGTCTGACAATTAAGTTTGGTGAGAGAACGTCAATAATACAGTAGAGTCTGGTTTCTGCACATACAATTGTCTATTGTTATGTTTAAATTAAATTTTGTTCTTGAACACAACAGAACAGTACTGGAGGATTTGCATCCTATGAACTCACAAGATCTTACCCCTGGTTGGAGGTGAAGAAGCAATTCTTTCCTTTTCAGTCTTTTAAAGTAAAAGATTGTTAATTGTGGTTAATTAACTTTTTTGAGAGAATCTGAGACATATTTCAATACCAGATGATCAATCCAGCTGAAACATTCGGAGATATCATCATTGACTATCAGTAAGCTCCAAAGATAGTTTGAGTTATTTCTCTACTTTTATTTTCCAAAGCAATTACATCAAATAATATACATCTTCATAAAAAAATGTAGGTACGTGGAATGCACATCAGCAGCAATACAAGGCCTTAAATCATTCATGAAGTTATATCCAGGACATAGGAGGAAAGAAATATTAGCATGTATTGCAAAGGCAGTCAAATTCATCGAGAGCATACAACAACCTGATGGCTCATGGTAATTGCCTTCTCCATACGTAAACTCATTAATTAGAAGAGTACTAATTAAATTAAGGCTAATTAATGTTATGCCTCCTGAATTATTCACTTTGCCCCGTGGAATTTTTTTATCAGTCGAATAATGTTTCAGGTATGGGTCTTGGGGAGTCTGCTACACCTATGGAACATGGTTTGGGATAAAGGGGCTGGTGGCTGGCGGTAAGACATACCAAACAAGTCATAGCATTAGAAAAGCATGTGATTTCTTGCTGTCCAAACAACTTGATTCAGGCGGCTGGGGAGAGAGCTACCTTTCATGCCAAAACAAGGTAAGAGACCAATGATTATAATTCAAAGATGGGGAGGGATGTATGATTTATCCCTTAAAATGGTAATGTTTTCTTGGGTAGAAAGTTGAGGTTCCACCATAAAACTAATTGTTAATATAGAGAATAACCCAACACTGTCAACATCTTGTCAGACAGCGTAAAGCTTCTATGTAGCGAGAACACTATGGCAAGAGAACATTTTCGGTTATAACATAAAAACATTTTGATGTTAATATGTCGTCAGACTGTTTGACAAGACATTTAGGTTATAGAATAACACAATATTTTGTTATTAAATAGGTATACACAAACCTGGAAGGGAACAAGCCACATATAGTGAACACTGGATGGGCAATGCTGGGTCTTATTGATGCAGGGCAGGTGTGTTTCACTCTCTGTTTGTTTCTTCTACAAAAAGATATGCTAATAGAAATAGCAGATAAATTCACGTGTAATATTGTTTTTACCGTTTTTTACTGATTAGGCTGAGAGGGACCCTGCGGCCTTGCACCGTGCATCAAAGCTGTTGATTAATTCACAGATGGAGAATGGAGATTTCCCACAACAGGTATACCGAGAAAGATTTTCGCACCCCGTTTTCTTCTTCTGCACACAGTTGTTCAATTACGTCTCTTGATAAGTTAGGGTCGTAAACAAGAGCGTGCATCAAGAAGAAATAGTGTCGGAAATCCAATTTCCCTATATTTATAAGTTAGCGTGGAAGGTTATACATGTAATATATACTTATCTTGCAATTAATATTACTTTGTTTTATTTTCACAGCAAATCATGGGAGTGTTTAACAAGAACTGCATGATCAGTTATTCTGCGTACAGAAACATCTTCCCCATGTGGGCCCTTGGAGAGTATCGCAATCGCGTATTCTGACCGTATAAATGTACAGATCAACTTGCTAGAAAATGAGTGTCAAATGGTCATGTAATGATGCATTTCATTGGCGTTTTCCAAACCCTACTACGATGTTGATATAACATTGGTGAATCTAATGTGTGTATAATAATGTATTTGAAAACAATCCAGAAGAAAAATGGACATGCAATTCAAAAGTGTTCAAACAGGGGCGGAGTTACAGAAAACTATATTACAACAGAATTTTACTACACATCTGCGAATATGTAACATATCGTCTTCACTCGAACTAGTACTCCCATGGAAATAAGTCAAGACTCTCAGTTGAAGTTTGCAACTCAGAATCCTTGAATCATAATCAGTCCTGGCTTGAATTAGTTAATGGCAGAACAATCGCTCGACTAAATATTATCAGAAATACAGAGACAAAATTTCGGGCCATTCAAAACCGTGAATTGCTAAGAAATGCGACAACGCAGCTGGTACTTTGAAACAATTTTTCTACTCTTTGCCATGTTTTGCATTGAATATCTAGGAGCTCCCTTGCCTTGTCCTGCAGTCTTGATTGGCACCGAATTGTTTCGCCGTGGATCTGTTAAAGGAAGAAAAAGAAGTAAATGAAAGAGGTTATTTGAAGTTGGTTGAGCACCAACTGGAAGTAGCAATAGTCGGTATATACTGGAATTGAAAAAGCTCCAAAAGCCTTCTGATAACACTACTAATTGGTTAAAAGCAAAAAAGGAGAAATCTATACCTTCAGAAACACCTTGATTACAGCTTGTACAAAGTCAAAATTGTTTCTGCACCAAGTCTCATGTATAAAATAATCAAGGAGCAGTTCGATTGAAAGTAATTCTGGGCGGCTTTCAAGTTCTTCCTCATCCTCATCATCAACAATCTGAAGCATTCGAAGCTCCATGTCCAGAGTCGATGGAGACAAACTTTTAATATAATCAGTAAATGCTGAAACTGCAACCAAAAACACAATTTAAGACGATTATGTCCTGCATAGATGTTACAACAATCAAGAAAGCAAAATTACAACTGAATTACAAGTGGAATATTACAGTACTAAGAGATTAAAAGTATTTACAATTCTTCATTTCTGCAGATGACTGAAGATGTTGCAAGAATTGTGATGGTGCCAGACCAGACTTTATTCTAGTGTGTTCTACGTCATCACCTTTCGCCTCCTCGTTTTCTAATCCCGTAAATAATATTTCTCCTGAAAAAGAGGGAATTGAAGGCAAAAAGAAAGGAGCCCTTTCCGGTTTTTTTGGTGGTTCAATTGGTTTATTCCGTTCCTGGGCATCGCAGAGCCACAACATAATTACTGATCAGTCACCAACAAAATGTACAGGGAAACAGATACAAATGTAATATATAATATTTCCAAATGAAGTCAAACGTTTGGAATCAGAACAATAATCACCAGTAGAAAGTACCTTTATAGTGTCTAAATTGATTAAGCTTTGCCACTGGCTTTTAGGCAATAATGAGAGAGTAACAAGATCGGGAATTTGAAGGTCAAGAGTAGTAAAAGCAGGAGCATCTTTGGATTCCGGATGGTCCACAATAGGCTCGTCAGAGTCCTCCTCTAGAGAACCTTTTGTTGAAGAGATAGATGGCAACTTAACATTCCTAACTTCCTTTCCACTTGCATAAGAATCGACTTTTGAAGCTCCAGAAAACATCGATTGGTTTACCCTGTTCAAATTGTCAGGTTTAATTTCAGGTAAAAAATAAGGAATGAAAATAAGAAATACTACAATATTAAACGATCTATTGCATGCTAAACCATTCACTTTAAAATTTTAAGATAATTGATATTTTTAGCTTTCCACTGGTTCTATGCTACATCATGATGCATTTGGCGGAGGGGATACTAAGGTTATATGAGGTTGCAGTGTCTTGACTCTAAACTGGGTATTTGGATGGAAAGGTATGGAAGGGTCTTCAAAGGTTATAGAGGGTAGGGTTGGAGAGAGTACAGTTTAGGTGAGCTGGATTGGAAGAAAGCCATAGGCTAAGTTATTGAGCTGTAATCATTAACGCTGTTTTCTTATTTATGTTCTGCATCAGTTATTTAGTCTCTCATTGTTGCTGTATTCCTGATTAGATAAGGTTTTTCTTTAAAAGAAGTGTCCACTCTATATGCATGACAATCACATTTAAAAACTCAACCTCCGAATAAAAATTCAATAGTCAATAGAAATGAAGACTTACCAAAGATAGACCCCATTTTGGTCAACATGCGCAGTCGCTAGAACATCCATATTCGGTGACAGAGACAATGCTGTTATAGCTACGTCAACATGCAACGCATCTATTTGTCTTGCTAAAATAACATCCCAGACTCGAAGACTTCCATCCATACTTGATGACAAAAGCCATTTTCCATCCTCACTAAAACACATATCTGTAATACGATCCATATGACCTTCAAATTTACGAACCATTCTTGATGCCACAACATCAAACAAACGGATGATTAAGTCATCAGCCACAACAGCCAGAAGACCTGGAAGTTATTTTGATCACATTATTATCCAAGGCATTTATGGTGCCAAAAAACGAAGCCAAATAACTCTAAATGGCAAAAATATGTCAAACACAGGTTACCATTCAAACGATTGTATACAATCTTGACAACGGAGCACCCAACTTCCCATCTAGATTTTACATCACGTCCCTTGAAATTCCAAACCTGCAGGTCAAAACGAGTGAGGCATGATGAAACATCCAACTAAACTTAGCCATTTTCTTTCTTCCTTTAACTTGGGAAGCTTAGAAAATTTCTTTACTTTGCTGATTCTTATAACTCAAGATGACAATATATACAAGGGCAAAAGGCATCTTCATGCAAAACTGTAATATCTTTCAACAAACAAGGTTTAGGCCAGGCCCACCACCACCACCACCCTCATAAATCAATGTAAATCCCGCCTTGAGCACCACAGACCTCGTATGCTATTATATGAGCCTGCCTACCAGTAACTCTGACATAAAGGTTGAGCATCATTTTTTTGAAATAAGAAATAAAGACTGACCTTTATGTCTCCATGATATCCTGCACTTATCATTACAGTATTTGTTGAATCACAAGCAATTCCAACCACTTCCCCATCATGGGCAAAGCTCCCTCTTTCTGACGTGTCTCTGTAACTGCCTCGACTGATTCCTGATTGGAGGTTGAACCGCTCAACCCAACCATCCGCTGTCCCTAGTATGGCAAAATTGCCACATGCACTGATGGCACAAGCCTATTACCAACAACAGAAAACCATTCATTAATATTGTAGACTGTTAAAAAAATGGTTGAGTATGGAAGTGTTTTTAACAAGTCTTTAAGATTGCACAGAGCATAGTCATTAGAACTGGTTCATCGGGAATCATATGAATCCAAAGAGAGTAATTCCAAATTTGATTATTCAACCTTGGAAAATGGATGTTACAAAAAATGAGCTATATTCAAGGCTTCAAGCAGAATCTAACCTTCACTGGTGTAGGGTTTTCAGGTCTTGGCTTCAGAATATGCTCACCAAGAACAAAGTTTTGAAGTCTCCATACATATGCCTGTGCAGTATCCATATGGCATGTAACCACATTGCACCAATCTCGCTCTCTTATTTCAGCTGAAGATATTTGTCGCATAAAGAAATCAGATGATTCAAAAATGTTAAGGTTTCTCATATTGAATATGGATTATAGGAATTAACACCAGTCTTAATGACTTCAACTACATTAGATCTATGGTATTGATTTTTAAACAAAAGCAGTAATTTTTTTCAAGAAGAGACCAAAACAAATTTGAAATTTATTATGTTCAATCATAATATACATTGAAATATAAGATTGCAAATTGCAACCTACAGAAATTTTTAGAATTTCTGTAGTATTTCAGTAGAGTGCTATAAAAAATTTGTTGTAAAAGAGCTAATAAAGTTTAAAATGAAAACAAATACAGAAAGTTTCACAGAGAAAAAGACCTTACCACAATCAAAAGCGATGACAGGCTTCAGTTTTATCTCTTCTTCCTAAAAGGTAAAGAAAACAGAAATTACATAGTCAAACTATCAGCGAGCTCAAATAGCTTTGTCAACTTATGATTCACGCGATAAAATGTTTCATCTAACCATCAAGGAAATGGGTATAAATGTCTAAGCCATGGTACATGGTCTTGACTACATGATACTTCACCAACAGAGTATCATGAGAAGCATGACACGCATCAGAAGGATGCAAAACATTTGGAAACAGAGAGAGAGAGGAAGGGAGGATGAAGATGTAGTGTGATCAATTTATGGATTCATCTAAGACATTTTCTGGTTTTGAACATTTTAAAAACATTGAGAAACGATCAGACATTCTTTTCATTGCTATCCAAACTGCAACACATTAATATGTTATGAAATCATTAGAATGGTATGATATCGACATGTCTCATGATCACCCATCACCCATCATGGTGACTTAAATATAAATACAAAAAGGCAGTCGTGGCCTGATCTTGGGACCTAAATCATCCTTCATGGATGAACCTCACTGAAACGTGACATAAAGCATCACATGGACCCTTCAATTCACCCAGGCATAATAATGTCAACAAAACAAGACACTGGTAACAGTACGGGTACCAGACACTCAAATGTGTGGACAGATTTTTGAAAATACATAAAAACAAACAAACAAAAAATGAGACATTTGTATGCATACCCACATCACACAATCACATCTGAGTTCATGTAGTGTAGTGTATCCATATCAAGTTCACTTTGTAATGTTTTCATAGTCAGCAAAAAAAAACTCTTACAAAAAAGTACAATAAAAAACAAAAAAATGCTCGATGAAATCCATAATTAAAACTATCATTCAATAACACAATAAATAGAATATTCTGTGTTACAAGCATAAAAAGACAAATCTTCAACTAATTTATGTGCTTTCATACATTTTTAGTGCATGCATCATGATTTGTCTAAGAACTAAGAGTCATTTGAAATTCAATTAAAGAAAAAAATTAAAAATCAATAATACCAACACAGTTTAGTTATACTAAGTACTGTATATAAGGACGAAGATATTG